CACACACACACACACACACACACACACACACACAAACACACACCTGGGTTCAGAAAGCAGGTCAGTTCAGATTTACAGCCAATGTAATGTCGTTTCATTCTACTATGATGAGTCCATGAGGACCATATACAGTGGGGGAAATAAGTATTTGACCCCTTGCTGATTTTGCAGGTTTGCCCACTTACAAAGAATGCTTATTTTTCCTCATCAGATGGTTATCAATTTTTATAAATTCATATGATGTGATTTTCTGGAATTTTCTTTGGGATTCTGTCTTTCACTGTTAGAATGTACATATGATTAAAGTTATAGATCGTTGCATTCTTTGTAAGTGGGCAAACCTGCAAAATCAGCAAGGGGTCAAATACTTATTTCCCCCACTGTATGGAGAACTGGGCCTCGTTTTGTGGTGATATCGGGGGATATATCTTCTGCCCTGCTTCTTCTGGGGAACCAGGGAAATCTCAGTATACTGGGTTCTGTCACCAATGTATTTGTCTTTGTATATTTCGATAGTTTGATCTGTTTTTATTCTGTAAAGCACTTTGGTCAGCTCCGGCTGTTGTATAGTGCTATATAAATAAACATTGATTGATTGATAACCTGTCCCCGTGTCTCTGCAGTAACCTGAGCATAGAGAACTGGATCATGCCCATGGTGTACGCGGGTCACCTGGGGTGTGTGGCCTGGGTTCACCCGTACTGGGCCCAGCAGATCCGGGAGGGGGAGCACAGCATGGCTGTGGGCCGGGACTCCTCCACCACCACCATCAGGTCAGAGCTAAACCAGCTAACCCTAACTAACTAACCAGCACACCCTAACTAACTAACCAGCTAACCCTAACTAACTAACCAGCACACTCTAACTAACAAACCACCACACTCTAACTAACTAACCAGCACACTCTAACTAACAAACCAGCACACTCTAACTAACTAACCAGCACACTCTAACTAACAAACCAGCACACTCTAACTAACTAACCAGCACACTCTAACTAACTAACCAGCACACTCTAACTAACAAACCAGCACACTCTAACTAACAAACCAGCACACTCTAACTAACTAACCAGCACACTCTAACTAAATAACCAGCTAACCCTAACTAACTAACCAGCACACTCTAACTAACTAACCAGCTAACCCTAACTAACTAACCAGCACACCGTAACTAACAAACCAGCACACCCTAACTAACAAACCAACACACTCTAACTAACAAACCAACACACTCTAACTAACAAACCAGCACACTCTAACTAACTAACCAGCACACTCTAACTAACCAGCACACTCTGACTAACTAACCAGCACACTCTGACTAACAAACCAGCACACTCTAACTAACTAACCAGCACACCCTAACTAACTAACCAACCAGCACACTCTAACTAACTAACCAGCACACTGTAACTAACAAACCAACACACTCTAACTAACTAACCAGCACACCCTAACTAACAAACCAGCACACTCTAACTAACTAACCAGCACACCCTAACTAACTAACCAGCACACTCTAACTAACTAACCAGCTAACTCTAACTAACTAACCAGCACACCCTAACTAACTAACCAGCACACT